AAAAAATGTTAAATCAGATTATATAAACACAGAAGAAAAATCTTTTATACCCCCATGTTGTCCATAAAGAAAGCAAATCAAATTCATGTTTTCAAGCTTTGTTATCCTCTAATCTCCTCCTTTATCTGCCTAGAATCATCTGAATTTTACACAGTGCAAATTTGCATCCATCATTCTGTGAAAAATCTAATTAGACACATTCCAGGGTCACAAAGCACAGATAGAGTAATATCTCAAGGAAATTTGCATCCTTCTGATAAAACCCACAGTAATTAAAAACACTTATTTATATTTCTGCCTCATATTAAATGAAATATTTTGAATTCCTGAATACAACTATGCTTAGTTAGCGAGGGCTGAAAAAACAACTACATAATGTTTATAAACCACATGGCTCAGCCTAAAGGAGTGCGAAATCTTGCGAGAATCTGTAATGTTCTATATAGATGTTATATCAAATGTCTTTCTCAAAATATCTCTTCTTACCTGAACCTCAAAATACTTTTTTTCATTTTATGAGAAGTGATTACATATGTATCACAAAACAGTGGCTATGGTCTCTCCTTCAAAAGCCAGAACCAATGCTAGCAGCATATTAAATAAGATAAGATAATGGACTACAGTTAAGTAAATGCTTCAGCAATGATTGGACTCTCTCAGAAAGACTGCTTATCATATAAGAAGATCTCCTTATAAAGCCCTTACCACCACAAAAACAATAATTAATGTTCATGGCATTATCTCTCTTTTTTTTTGGTTGGGGTTTCTCTACAATGAAACCCTGCTTTTGATTATCAAGTTGCTAATCTGCTTGAAACACCTTTTCAAAGACTATTCCCTATTTACTTCTATCCAGGAAATATACTGTAAAAAGTTCTACCCACTCCTCCAAATCCTTCCTCTGCCCACCACTGCATGTACAAACTAACTTCAGTACCCACTTTTATTCTAGAGTACGGCGGTACTCTCTGCAGCTGCAATTTCCAACCTAATCAAATCAAATTATGCTCCAGATGAGTAGATGGCTCCTTCTCTCTTGCACCCCAGAGAGCTGTACCATTGTGATATACAAATTACTTAACACATTTCAGTGGAAGGTTCTTATGTCCTCTAAACTTACAGCACACAGGATAAGTGAATAACCCAGAGATGCTCATTAGTGCTTGCCAACTCGAAGAGACAGACAACAAGTACATTTAAAACTACTCTTTCAAGCTTATTTTCAGGTTAACCTTTGTTTCCATTTAAATCTAAAATACAGAATGTATTTAGATCCTCCTCTACAAAAAAGGCATTTTTCTGAATAAACATTTTCGTTCTAAGTTGTGCAGATGGGTTACATAACACTGTTTCAATACACTAAGCCTGTTCACTAGAATCAGGGGAAGGGCAGACAATTTATACTGTACAGACATATGCCATACCTATATACTTAAGAGGAGATCACTATCACGCAACCAGCAACAGATCAAAAAATTGATTTACTAATGATAAAATATGTTATAGTGCTTAAGAAAACAAATAGTTGTAGCTTTAAATATCATATCCAGAAATAAATTATTCACATAATTGTTTTCAAAATTCAGCTAGTCACGTTTTCATTGAGCAAATCTGGTCAGGGTTAGTGGCTTCAGCATTTAATTGATCTAAACTGTTTAATTTCAGCACTTCCTCATGTACAAGAGGTGGCAAGAAGCAAGAGAAGAAACCCCAGAAGAATTTTTACAACACACAATTTCTTCTAAGTTGCTTGATGAGTCTAATGTATTGCACAGATGCTGATTATACATGGTAATAAAACTGACAGCTCTTCTTTGCATTTTCCCGCATCTGCTTTTAAAATAAATGGCAAAAACAGCTGTCAGGGAACAGAAAATAGATTTCAGTGATGGGATTCACTGCAGCTCCTGGATCTAAAGAATTGCTGTACATAGCCAACACATCTCTCATCATACATAACATCTGCCAGTCTTTTGAGAAAGAGGAAGCAGTAATACTGGCTTGGCTGGGATGATTTAGTTGGTGTTGGTCCTGCTTTGAGCAGGGGATTGAACTAGATGACCTCCGGAGGTCTCTTCCAACCCTAATATTCTATGATTCTCTCTTTGCTTTAGGGAGCCTTCAAGCTCAGAGTACCTTCCTCCCCCCCTGCCCCCCAACAACTGTACCTCCAAAGTGCTTGTGTCTACAGCTTGTTTCAACTTCAGCAGCAAAGAATTTCACTGGAATCTGTGATATCATCCATGTCCACCGCAACAAAAGGTAGAAGTACTGTATTACTTGCACTTTACAATTCCAGACAGTTCCAGTTCTGTGTGTTTAATAAATCTGTTGACAGCTTGCTAAATATTTGAATATAAGGTGTGATTGTTAACTTGGTCCTACAGCTTGCCGAACTGTTAACATCCACTCTATTTGTTCCATCAAATACTTCAGGGGATTGATTATAAATGATAAAATGCTGTTAGAGAGACTTGTACCACAGAAAGTGATGAGCTCTCCTTATAAAGCTACTAAACAATTTTCTCTACTCAAAAGCAAGTCCTGAATTTGTTCTGTCTTTTCATGATGGGGAGGGTCATCTCATATTCTGATCTTTACTGCAGCATTATTGCTGAGATGCTTTCAGTTCACTGCTTTTTATGAATTCAGTTTGTGGTTTAAATGCATAACTTGGTAAAGGAGTGCTAGACCATATCCTGGCAGAGATCATGCAAGGTGGTCAAAGGGATAGGAGAAATGAAATTTGTCACATGGCTATGCAGTTTATCATCTCCCTTTCGATCATACATATGTAAATATACTGCTATTGGAATGCTGTGTCCAGTCTGGTGTCCACAGTTCAAGAATGATGTTGATAAATTGGAAAAGCTTCAAAGAAGAGCCATGAGAATGATTAAAGGATTAGAAAACATGCCTTATAGTGAAAGACTCAAGAAACTTAATCTGTTTACCTTCTTAAAGGGAAGGTTAAGGGGTAACTTTATCGCAGTCTATAACAACCTACATGAGGAACAGAAATATAATAAGGCGATTCTTTGATCTACCAACAGTGTAACAAGATCCAGTGTCTGGAAAATGAAGTTAGACAAATTCAGACTAGAAATAAGGCACAAAAGTAAATAGTCTCTTCAAAAGGGGCCTGGGCTTCTGGCTTCTGCCCAAGGGACCCAGGTTGAGCAACCTGGGCTCTAAAAAGGAAACATAGTAAAGATGGTCCCTCTTCTTTTTTCAGAGGGTCCAGGCGGCAAATGTTCTTCAGCAGCTTTCCTGTTAAGCAGGGGCTAGGGAGCTCTGTGCTCTAGCTCTACTTCCCTCTGAGTGCCACCCTACAGTGGGCATGGATCCTCCCATTTAAGGAGCTGTCCCTCTCCAGACTTGACACACCTCATACGTTGCACAAACAGGGAGGCTGCCCTGGATGCCAAACTGCTGTGCCTCTCTGTCCCCACACCCCCTTTTTCCTCCACTGATTGACTGGCTGTGGGTGTGTTTGGTTTTGTGTATTTTTTGCTCTGCTGATTGGCTGGTCATTTACCCCAATCCCTCTCAGCTGCTCAGAGGGTGGAGAAGGCGGGAAGAGAAGGGCACTGATATCACAGAGCCATTCCTGCTCACAGGTACACAGGGTTTGGGCTGATTGTGTCCAGAGGAACTCTAACCCCTTCCTGATTGGGATGGTAACGTATCCCACCACACCTAAAGAAGTCGTTCCAGTGGTTAATTATCCTCATTATTTCTTTTGTTTGAGCTCTTTGTTTGGGAGTTCGTTCGCTCTTGGGACTGAGAGGGACCAGACATCAATCTAGGTTCTCCCCATCTTTCTAAACAAGTCTCTCCTATTTCAAACTTGTAAGTAAATAGCCAGGCAAGGCGTCTTAGTTTTACTTTGTTTTCTCAACTTGTAAATGTACCTTTTACTAGAGTGTTTATCTCTGTTTGCTATACTTTGAACCTGAGGCTAGAGGGAGGTCCTCTGAGCTCTTTAAGTTTGATTACCCTGTAAAGTTATTTTCCATACTGATTTTACAGAGATGATTTTTACCTTTTTCTTTAATTAAAAGCCTTCTTTTTAAGAACCTGATTGATTTTTCCTTGTTTTTAAATCCAAGGGGGTTGGATCTGTATTCACCAGGAGTTGGTGAAAGGAAGGAGGGGGAATGGTTAATTTCTCCTTGTTTCAGATCCAAGGGGGTTGGATCTGTATTCACCAGGAGTTGGTGAAAGGAAGGAGGGGGAATGGTTAATTTCTCCTTGTTTCAG